CAGACGACAGAACATTGCTAGAGAGCAGGAAAGGAGGTGAAAGGAGAATGTGTTTAGTTTTAGAAAAGAGTTTTACGGCACTTGCAACACATAAGGTCATATAAGTGCCGAAGAATAGAGGTGTTACAAGAGAGGACAAACACAAAAAAGAAGCAAGGGAGATAAGGACGATAGATGTTCGATTGGAAAGAAGAAGCAAATCACACCAGAGCACCCGCCAACCACCCACAAAGGACAATGTGTATACATACGACACCATAAAAAAATAGAGAAAAACGGCATCTAGTGAAAAATACGCATTTATTTATAACCATCATGGACCATGAAGCTTGCACCAAAAATTTAAAAATCTCCCAATACATAGATCTGCACCAACCAGTGGCAAAATGCTTTGATCTAGGTCTAGGATTTTCCCATAGGTTTATAGCACAATATCCTAGATCGTGTACTGTGATGTATACCTCCGGTGGCCAAATGCTTTGTTCTAGGATTGTCCCCACAGGTTTATAGCACAACACCCTAGATCGTGTACTGTGACGGACTTCCGGTTCACCATATGGAGCGCATCCTAATTTGAGCCCAATGTAATTGCTATTCATTACAACAACAAAAATTGGGGGAGGGGGTGGAGACAGTTGTGCCGCGTGCATTCCACTGGGTAAGTAGTAGGTCAATAAGTCAGTTAATAAATAAAATATGTGAACGGGTTTAAGGCCCCTATCAACACCATTAGGTCATTGAAAAGATGAAACGTCTACCTCCAAATACAACCCAGCGAGATGGGCTGAGAGATGAGCGGGCACAGATGAGCTGACTGACAGATGAGCTGACTGACAGATGGGCTGACTGACAAATGGGCTGACTGACAGATGAGCTGACTGACAGATGAGCTGACTGACAGATGAGCTGACTGAGAGTATTGATGAACACTCCACAACACAACCCCAGCTCAACAACGCCTAGGCTGGGTTACGAACCAGGGCCATCTGCTCCGTGGTCCAGCATGACACCAACTGATCTGACACAACATTCGCTGACTGAGCCAACTGAGCTGATGGACCATTCGCTGACTGAGCCAACTGATCTGACGGAACATTCGGCTACAGCGACAACTACAGTACAGCGAGAGGTTTCAGAAGTTTGCGCGGAATCACACCAGCTGTTGTCTAAGATGGATTACTTCCACAGAAATTAAACGCTTTCTTTTTCCTTTATTTCAGTTTGACAGAGCGGCCCATGGTGCTTTGTTCATTTGTTTGTTCCTTTGTTAGTTTGTTCGTTTTTGTTTTAGTTTTCGTAAGAGTTTTACGGCACTTGCAACACAATAAGGTCATATAAGTGCCGAAGATTAGAGGCGTTACAAGAGAGTAACAAACACAAAAAAGAAGGAGGGGAGATAAAGACGATAGATGTTTGATAGGAAAGAAGGAGCAAACCACACCAGAGCACCCGCCAACCACTCACACCAAGATGAATGTTTGATTGGAGGAAAGACAAGGAGGCAAACGAGCTCATCCTCCATAAGCTGCTTACATCGTCCCATAGACTTGAACAATTAGACTATCCTAGACCAGCTACTGTCATGGCCGACACTCTCTACAAAAACTGTGCAACACAGGTGCGCACCATGAGCGCGCTAATAAACAGACAAACACCAGTCTCACATGGTCAGGTGCACACCATGAGCGCGCTAATAAACAGACAAATACCAGTCTTGCATGGTCAGGTGCGCATTCAAACCGTTCCCCTACGTGCTCTTCATTCAGTCCAGGCACATGGGGCTGGAAGGGTCAAAGTTCACCGACTGGTCGCACACAGAGTCAAGCGGTGCGCTCTGTGCCACGCAGGAAGTAGGGAACAGTACACAATCGAAGATGTTGTTTATAAAGCATGTCTCTGCATTGTCCAAAGAAAAGAAACGGTGAAAAACGGAATCACTTTTTCCATGGTTTTACAGCTATTTGGCTTTAAAAACACCACAAAGCCGATTATGCAACCAGGCCTCCATGTAAGATGCACTTGCCCAAAGATTTCTATAGAAATAAATACACTCCAAAACAAAACAAGGGAGAGCAAACAATAGTAGTCAAAAAAAACCAGCACGGTTGACAGAAATATTGGTGATAGCTACAGATTGCTCTCTGAGGTCATCAAAATAAAACAGCATCAATACAAGTATGTACATGAGTAAATGACATTGCTTAAGTCAGTCATCGGCTATATATATATATATATAAATATAATACAAGACATAGTTTATTATTCCTCTGTCATGAACAACACACAACATGGAGCACCATTATGTCGATTCACCGCACTCGCCCACAATGCAACATACACAACAAGGGGAGGGGTGTGGGGGAACGATGCTGGGAGTACAGTACAGTTTGTGTGCAATTAATTCTGTCTAGAGATGAGAAGGATGTCGCTGTAAACACCCCCTCCCCC